CTCCCCGAGGGGCCCCCCACCTCCCCGCCGCTGAGTGCGGGGGGCCCCAGCACAGAAGAGGCGCGGCGGCTCGCCCAGTGAGCTTAGGGTTTAGGGTTTAGGGTTTAGGGTTTAGGGTTTGGGGTTTTGTGGGCAGTGTTTGTGGGTTTGCAAGCGTGGTGATGTGGGAGTGCTCGGCGCGACTGGTTGCCCTCTGCTCCCTGGAACACAACCCAGGGTTTAGGGTTTAGGGTTTAGGGTTTAGGGTTTAGGGTTTAGGGTTTCCCCCCGAAGCCTCTGAGTCCCCAAGGAACGCCGCTCGCTTACTCCCTGTGCTGCAGACCCCACCGTCCGCGCGCAACCCACCGCGGGTCCAGGGCTCAGGGTTTAGGGTTTAGGGTTTAGGGTTTAGGGTTTAGGGTTTAGGGTTTGGGGCTTCGCAGGCACCTGCTGAACCGGCTGATGCCGCACGACCCGAGCTACCACGTGCTGGTGAAGTTCTCGGGGTCTCCTCTGTCTCCAAACCGGCTGGGGCGCGTCTTGACTTTGAACTTGAACAAAATTTGGTTTCGAACTTTAAGTGTCTCCTTTCCCAGCTGCTGCGCGCAGTGGGCCCTCGCGCGCGCACAAACTGTCTCCTCGCCCAGCCAGCGGAGACACTTCAAAAGGAGACACCTCATCGACGCCGCGGCCTCCTGGTTCGTCTCCAGCCACCGCCTCGCCATGCTGGGCTTCTGCTTCTCGGTGGGCGCCGCTCCGGAGGCACTTGGAGACACTTTGGAGACACTTTGGGGGCCCTTTGGAGGCCCTTTGGGGGCGCTTTGGCGGCGCTTTGGAGGCAGTTTTGGGGGCGCTTGGAGACAGTTTTGGGGACGGTTTTGGGGACGCGTGGAGGCAGTTTTGGGGACGCTTGCAGACAGTTTTGGGGACACTTGCAGACAGTTTTGGAGACAGTTTTGGGGCCACTTGGAGACAGTTTTCGGGGCGCGTGGAGACAGTTTTGGAGACACCTTTGGGGGTCGTTGGAGGCACTTGTAGACGCTTTTGCAGATGGTTTTGGAGATGGTTTTGGGGATTGTTGGGGACACTTGGAGACAGTTTCGAGACAGTTTTGGAGATAGTTTTAGGGATTGTTGGGGACAGTTGGGGACACTTTTGGAGGCGGTTTTGGAGATAGTTTGGGGATTGTTGGAGACTCTTGGGGATAGTTTTGGGGATAGTTGGAGACACTTTCGGGGATAGTTGGAGACACTTTCGGGGATAGTTGGAGACACTTTTGGGGATAAGTGGGGACACTTTCGGGGATAGTTGGAGACACTTTCGGGGATAAGTGGAGACACTTTCGGGGATAGTTGGAGACACTTTGGGGGATAAGTGGAGACACTTTCGGGGATAAGTGGAGACACTTTTGGAAGTAGTTGGGGACATTTTTGGAGATAGTTGGGGACACTTTTGGAGACACTTTTGGAGACACTTTTGGAGACACTTTTGGAGACACTTTTGGAGACACTTGGGGACAGTTGGAGAGACTTGGAGACAGTTAGAAAGACTTGGAGACACTCAGAAAGACTTGGAAGGAGACAGTTTAATTTAAGAGAGACAATTAGCCGTAAAGGGGACAATTAAATTGAAGGAGACAGTTGGCTTTGAAGGAGACAGTTAAATTTAAGAAGACAAATGGCACTGAAGGAGACACTTGCACTAAGAGGAGACAGTTGCATTAAAAGGAGACACTTGTATTAAAAGGGGACACTTGTACTGAGAGGATACACTCATATCAAAGGGAGACACTTGTATTAAGAGGAGACAGTTGAAGAAGACAGCAAACGCCTGGCGTAACGCGCCAGGGCCTCGGCCTCAAGCCATTATTATTATTTATTATTATTTATTTATTATTTATTATTTATTATATGTAGTCCATATATTATTTAATGTAATACTCAATATGTTTAATATTATATATATTACACATATACCTATAATAGATTATATATATAATACAGACTACCTCCTCACCTACCACCCAACTGTCCCCTCAACTGTCCCCCAACTGTCCCTTCAAGAGTCCCTAAAGTGTCCCTAAATTGCCCCTCAAGAGTCCCCAAAATGTTCCTTAAATGCCCCTCAAAAGTCCCTCAAAAGTCCCTCAAAAGTCCCTTAAAAGCCCCTTAAAAGCCCCAAAAATATCCCTAAAAAGCCCCTTAAATGCCCCCCAAAGTCCCTCAAAAGTCCCTAAAATGTCCCTAGAAAGTCCTTCGAAAGTCCCTTAAAAGCCCCCTAAAATGTTTCTAAAGTGTCTCCAAAACGTCCCTGAAAAGCCCCAAGTGTCTCCGTTTGTGGGTGTCTCCTTTCAGGAGAAGGCGCAGCCTGTGCAGCCGTGTTCGGGCAAAATAGCTGCGGGGCTGGACCCCACAGCTGTCTCCTCTTGGCGGTCTCTTTTGCTTGAACAAGAAGTCCTCGCCAACTTCCGCCTTTCCGGACTCGGAGACCTCCGCAGGGTCGCCATGCTCGGCAGAGAGGTCAGCTAGCTAGCAGCTAGCTAGCCAGCTAGCTGGGCACTGCGTAGCTAGCTGCGGAGCTGGGTAGCTAGCTAGCTAGCCAGCTAGCTAGCTGGGTGGCTGGGTAGCTAGCTGGGTAGCTGGGTAGCTAGGTAGCTAGGCAGCTGCCTAAGTAGCCAGCTGTGCAGTTGGCTAGCTAGCTAGCTAGCTAGATAGCTATCTAGCTAGCTAGCTAGGTAGCTAGCTAGCTGCCCAAGGATCTAGGTGCATAGCTAGCTGCATAGCCGAGGAAACACCAAGAGCTAGCCAGCTAGCCGTTGGGCTGGCTAGCCAGCCCGCTAGCTAGCCACACAAGCCGCCGCCACCTAGCCAGCCAGTGGACGAGCGAGCCAGCCAGCCATCCAGCTAGCGAGCCAGCTGCCCTGCATGCGCGCATGCATGCATGCATGCATGCATGCATGCA